GCGATCCCAGCCTATATTTGACCTGCCACTTCAGGGCGGCACATGACTGGGCCACGTTGGTTCCCTACCAAGTCCCAGTCAGTGCTTAAAACACAACATATTAAGTGAAACCGCACAATGATGGAAAAATTAGTCTTAAACCTGCCACTTCATACACGATATTCGATGAACCTGAAGAAAAGAAGCAAAGGGATGAAAGGAAAGAACCAAGAAGACTGAAAGGAAGAAAGAAAGAGGAAAAAAATCTAAACACCGTCACACCCAAGATAGCTCGTCTGATACCTAACTAAGAGTGCTTGAGGGTTTCCAACAGGAATTCTCAAGCACTCTGGGGGAACTTTCTCTGTTCTTGGGTGTATGTTCCGAAGGTGATCAGACTGGATCACTGCTTTAGCAACGACTTGACGTCTTGCTTTTCTCTTGAAATTCCGTCATCTGTCTTTCGGCTATCCGTGAACTTGCTCTCTTGGGAGACCTTCACTCCCCGATGAGCCAGATCTCGATGGATTTTGACCGGTTGATAGATAGGGCTTAATACGACCTACGGCTGTATTTTTGCCCACTATCAACCTCGCAGACTAGTGCGCCCAGGTTCATTTGTGATAGTAAGATGAGAGCGCAAGTTTCTGTAGTGCGTCTTCATTTTTCCTTGTACTCTGTTGGATTCAAATCTTCCATTGAGTGCAATGTGGCAAGGAGGGCGAATGTAATGGATCGCTCGTTGCCACATTATTAGTCATAGACTATGACTCATAGTGACGTCCCTTTCGTTGTGTGCCGCAGGACTGTTTGCTGTTCTCGTTGCGCGGACGAGACTGGTGTATAGCTTCTGTGTGGGATATCGATTCTCGGATCGATACGCATGCGCAGGGTTTTCGAGGAACAAGAGTTAAGTTAAGCTTTCGGCTTTCCCCCTTCCCCCTGTCGAGTTCAGAGTCGGGTCTGTCTGACGGTTCACAACATCGACAGCATTTGGAAAATCATGTGACATGAAAAAGCACCAATTCTCGAGCTCCCAGACTCTGGGACCCAGAGATGTAGGGGACTATAGCGTATAGTCTATACGCTTTCGCCTACTCAGTCTTCCGCACAGTAAGGTTCAAACGTTTGACGCTCTGCATTAGGGTGGTCATAAATTGCAACTCATAATGCACATCGGCAGCTTGTAAGTATCGTTGCTAGCAGATAAATTCTCTGCCGGTAATTGAATAATTCAATTACGGTAATTCAATTTGAATTACCGTAATTCGAACTGTATGTTTCATTGAGGAGCGAGTACAAGCAAGTGTATGATTTCAGGGGATGAAAGGTGTGTTAACCTCGTAATCTAAGGTAACTTACTTAGTGTCTGGTTATGTCATAATGTGCGCTCCGTAGCTCATTGAGATCGAGATGATTCCATACCTTAAGTTGGTCCATCATATTGTTATTTCGAATTTCTCGTCTCAAGTTGGTTGGGAGACGCTAACCTATGTCAGGACACATGAGCCATATTCCGTGACATAGTTTGTGTGACCAAACATGATCTGTGAACCCAGAGCCCAGAGTAAGATCCTGTGATCGGACTTCGGCTTCACAGTGTTTGGTCCTCTCCCACACTCCCGACCAATACCCAGTCGATGAACAGATGTCTTTCGGGATGAAGAACAAGCCTTGGTTAGTAACCAATGATTACTTTGCCACAGGAGATATATATGACTCATATAATATGATCTCCCGTCCCCGTTGGGCAGGTGCAACAGACAGTGAGTCGGCTAAAATCTCAGCCATATTGCGGCCCGATCATCGGGTCCATTGGACCGAGGCAGCGGGCAGTGGCTCATAGTAATAGAGGTGGCTGATTTCTCGGTCATCCTCTTGCCCCACTGGACCGGTGTAACAACTAGTTACTCACAGTACTTGGAGTGGCCGATTCCTCTGCCACTTCCTGGCCCCACTGTGTCGAATCAACAAGTAGACTACCCAACGTAGTCGGATATACGCCTCCGCAGAGGACGTCAAAGCGCATCAAG